CCTTCCTTCCTTCCTTCCTTCCTTCCTTCCTTCCTGAAACTCCATACTGTTTTCTACAGTAGCTATACTAATTTACATTCCCTTTACATTCCCACCAACAGTGTGTAAGGATTCCTTTTATTCCCCCTCATCCTCACCAACATTTGTTAATTTTTTTTTTTCATAACAGCCATTCAGTGCGGCCTATTTTGATGACAGTAGGAAGCATTCAACAAGCAGTCTGGCATGTTGCATTTGCCAGTGTCATAATCACTACGTGCCACATGGCTGGTGTCTTAATATATCCCCATACACAAGAACACCGTACCATCACCCTGAAATTCAGCCTGGTCACCACATGCATATATATATATATATATATTTATTTATTTGAGCTTAACTTTGTCTTATAGTAAAGATGTTGATTTTTTTCTCTCTCTAAAAATGAGAACAACTTTCATGTATTCCCTTGTAAAATGGGGATAATAATAATGATAATACTTTCTGTCTGAGAGTTTTGAGGCACTACTGCAAAGTGCTTGACACAGAGCTTGGCACACAGTAGGCATGTCACCAACATTAGGGACCAGTATTATAATATCACCATTGTCCATGTTTCAGTAACCTAGGAATCATCTTTTTCTTCTTCTGTTTATCACCTTTGCTCAATCACCAAGTTCTATTCCTTCTTATGTCACAGTCTTTCTTCTCATCTCATTCCTGTTACCACATTTATCCAAGACACAGTCATGTGAGAGGCAGGAGATAAAGTCAGGTGTGACAGGTGGGGATGATGGCTCTAGGCCTCTGTTTCCTCTTCCATGAAATGAAGATAACACCATCTTTCATACCCCCCAGGTCATTGTGGGGCCCAAAAGAAGTATAAGCCAAAACTTAATTCTAAGGTGATATAAAAATATTAAGTTTTAGATTTTTGGTGTAACTTTTCACTTTCTGCAACAGCATTTTTTTCCTGTGATAGCACATGCTGTACCTTACTCTCAGACTTATTTTCCTAAAATACCACCTTTATTACTTAGCAAGAATGACATGTAATTGGGGATTAGCTCAATGGTACAGCATTCTCCTAGTATGGACAAGGCCCTGGGTTTGACCCCCAATACTGCCCCCCCAAAAAAATTGTGATATCTAAAAGAATATTTTTTTTTTCATTCTTCTGTCATTTACTTTAAGTCTCCTCTATCCAAATTTAAGACCTATCCTATCCTACCTAGACACATTCTCAGGTCTACCTCCTCTGCCTCCATGTTTTCCAACGTGGACTTACTGTAGAGTGATCTTCCCTAGTTTCTTTGTCTCTCTAAGACAGAAGGGGGAAAATGTGGTAAATGTTAGCTACATAAATAGGAATGATGCTAACCAGCACTTTCACAAAGCATTCTTTAAGAAAAGTACTACTTTAGAAAGACTCATGTTGACACTGACTTAGAGCAGAGGTCACTGATGCCATGGGATTGGCCACTTGGAAGCTTGAGCAGTGATTTCAACCAGTGGGGGGACTCGTGCAAGACCAATACTCAAGATCACGTTCCCATGTCCCCCACACCCCCTAGTTGCTCGAATGCTCCTGCACATAAGCCATAGATAGCTGATGATGACTTCCTTACCAAGCACCTGCCTGGATCTCACAGCCACACATCTGTTGTGTCTAGATCACTAATAGATAGGTTTCTCACTTTATTCTTCTCTGCCCCCAGTTTATCTGAGTACCATAATTCTGTCTCCTTTGAGAGATTCAGTCCTGCATGGAATCTTGATTTAGAATTCTTCCCTTTTCTGATCTAGTTAAGAGGAACTCCATTTAGTTAGTTTTGATGAAATAGATATTACATAGTATTCATATCTCAGACACTGGTACAAATTCATTGTTCAAATGACATGGTATAGACTTACATATATATTCTTTCATACTTTTTTTCTGAGGAAATTTTACTAAAAACTTGCCTCAGAAAAGGAAAAAGTGAATAGAAGATGATTTTCCTATTTTGTTTGGCCTAGTGAACACCTGTGAAGCCACTTAAAGGTGAATCATCTCTAATTCACCAGGATAATTATGTCTGGGGAATGACTTTGCCATACTGATAGGAATTCAATCATCAATGTCATTTATATTTTTCAATCACAAATACACAATTTCCACAAAGTCTTAAGATGTAAACAGTATATACTTAATTGCAAATAGTGCCATCTACATTACTGTGTTCCATTGATTAAGAGTTAAAAGCCTGAACTCAGTGACTGGCAGTCTGAAACAAGGTGGGATTATTTTTTTAAAAAAAGATGTTATAGATATCTCATTATCTTTTTCTTTTCATTTATTGTCTCAAAGTATAAGGCAAGAGCTTTCTTGATTTTTCCACTTTTAAGTAAGATTTCTGTATATGTAGAGAAATACTTTTAGATGTCTATAGAAAAATATCTATGTCTTGCAGAACTTGCATAATCCTGAAGTATCATTTCAATAATCTTTAATGAATTCTGATGCTTAACTGGCATCCACCAGCTCATGGTATGATGTTAAAAAAATCTTTATCAAATATTGGTTTCAGAATTTGAAGACATTATATAGGGAGTTATTGGGTTTAGAAACATGGCCTAAGATTGAGGCAGAAGGTATTTCTTGATGTGCTGACTATTAGAAAATTTTCCTAAGATGTCATAGGATGTGCTTTCAAAAAATGCTACATGAATTGATGTAAGTGGTGCCACTGAGCTTTAACATATCCAAAACCAAATATGAATGTCTTTCCAAAAGGCTTTTTAGTGAAATAATTAAGATTTAAATTATGATTCTTTTTCAACCCCCTGTTTTTGATCTGTGCTACAATGGGATGCTAAATTCATCTCATCTAGAACTCCAAACACTCTTATCATATCTGATGTGTTATCTGATGTGTTATCTGATGTGTTCCTGCAAATCTGATCTTTTTGCTGTTGTGCCTATTTCTAATGTCTGATTCATTGTGATACTAATTCAGATTCTTTGCACCTCAAACTAATATTAGTGTGACCTCTAGCCATTTATATTTAAACTCTGTATCATAAGAGCTGGCCTGCTCCCTTCTCTCCTGCCTGGGCCACCATCTTAGGAGGCCATCCCAGGAGATTTCATTAACCTTTCAACCTTCAGTCTTGTAAA